TGCACTTGATCTTCCACACTCTTCAACACCAAAACAGAAGTTTATTTTATAAAGCACACGTTTGTCTGCATCAATTGCTTCCCATGTGTAACTGAAAAGAAAGAAAAGTCTGTTAGTTGATATTGATATTGTCTGCACTGCCATCCCCTAAACACCAGTCCCTGAAATAACCAAGTTACAAAGCAAAGAGCACGACTAACTTGAGTTTCACATCTGTGTTCCATATCCATAAATACCAGGAATAACTGTTACTGTGTTGGGGCCAAGAACAAAACAGATTTGAGGAACGTATATCAGATCCAGTCCATTTGCCCCTTTCTTGAACACCCAAAACCACCCATTCTTCCCCCTCAAATCTCTGTGAAGGCCACTCTGACTAGGTATATAACAGGTGGCGAACCTTTTTCCTTGACAGCCTGATAAAATAAATGCTCAAGCATCTTTAGCAGACTGCATACTACTGCATTTTATCAATACCCAGTAACAGTGTCAGAGGTGCTAAGCCTAAATGGACTAGAACAGCCAGCCACATCCTGCCTGCCAGCAGCAGAGACATCTACCTTCAGGGATTGAGATTCTCGCAGCATTCAGACTGAAAGATGCTAATAATGTTTATTAGGTGCTAGCTGCACCTTTATGCATCATATCATCATATATATGTGTGTGTGTGTGTGTATATATATATATATATAAGTTCACACTTCTCCCTGTGAACTGAAAAAGGAAAAAAAAAGGAAAATATTAATATCCTAATTATATTGGGATTTAAAGGCTCAAATACAAGGCTCAAAAATATATATATTTATATATATATCTTAATATTGAAAGGACAGTTTCTGAAGGGTCCTGTCAGAAGCTGGAAAGCAAGCAGAGCTATCCACAAGACTTGGTGAAAGATCACACTAGCTAGCTACAGCCATAACAGAAAATCAGCCACCTAAAAACTGATGAAGGACCATGAAGCTCTGGTTAAATATGATGAGGAATAAATTAGAGTAACAGAAGAAAAAAAAACATAGATGCAGTGTAGTTCAGAGGTAGAGCAAGGATTCGTTTCCCTCAGAGCAAGCGCTGGGGCTGCAGCAAGATGTGGTCAGCCGCATGACACAGCACCACCCGGTTTCGAGGCAGGCCCAGGTCAGCTAGTTTGGAGTCAGGAGCTCTTTAGACAGCCTGGCTTACTAGCACGGTGCTGTGGCCAAGCTTTGTTAAAAAGGCACAGCTCAGTAAACATTTGCCGCCAGCTTGGCTCAGCTACAGCTCTTCTGGCGCTGGCAGCAGCCTGCACCCTCTGGACAGCATTGATTTTTGCCATGTTAAGAGATTCCCCAGCTTCCCTTCTATCCCAAGTGGAAACTTCAGTAGGATTTAATACAGAGTCATCACATCAGAAAACTGAGGACAGCACAGTGACTTATTAGGTATTCCTGTTGTTTACAACTCACACAGGGTTTAGTGCATCTATCTGATCAACAGAAGCATTTGTCTTAATCTACAGATTAGTACCAAATCCAGTGAGGGAGCTCAACCCCCCCCACCCCCACCGTGCCCTGCTATCAAGAAATTAGAGGTCAATCAGAAGCTTCAACCACAAGGTGTGATTGCCTTAATCTCTAGCTCACAGATGTTGTACCACTTGACATTATCATACCAGATCCAGGTCCCCCCACAAGGAGAACCCATTCTTGTTCACCTCTGAAGCTCAGTTCTTGGATGAAGAAGGGGCAACAGCAGTTCAGCTACTTTACTCTAGATTTTGAATCCTCTGAAAACTCCTCTCAAATCCAGTGCATCCCATCAAAGAGCCAGCAGTAAGATACTAAATACTTTTCCATTTAATGACTGACTACAGGGTTCTCAGCTTCCCTGCACTACAGCAGCCATATTAATTTCAGTTTGCTAATGGCTGGAGCAAGTTAGGGACAGCTACAAGACACTGCTCCCTGTGAACTGAAAAAGGAAAAAAAAAAAAAAAGAAAATATTTATATCCTAATTATATTGGGATTTAAAGGCTCAAATACGAGGCTCAAAAAATAACTTACCAGGTACTGAGTAATACCCAAAACAGCAATTAAGTTACTTTTTAATCAGATTCAGGAATGGTTTCTCAATCCTAGACAAACACTTGCCATTATTCTTTGCTCATAAGCAGGCAGAGCTGACTGATTAGTTCTCTGAGCTAGTTTCTTGCATTTCTGAAGTGGATAAAGACAACCCTGATGCAAGATTGCCACAGTTCAGAATAACCAAAGTTCAGCAATGGAAGAAAGCTTGACAACACGCAAAAAAAGTTACAGAACCTGACTCTACCTTCAAGGGCTCTGAAAACAGTAAGTGGTTAAGACTAGAGCCAGTTTTACCTCCAGGAGAAAATGCATTTGAATCAAAATACAATTTATTCACAATGAAGTCTCAGAAAGTTAGCATTTCACCCAAAATTCCCAATGCCTTCAGTACTCTTTTTTGACTGGTTTTGGAAGATAACAAAAAGGTAACTTGTAACACTAAGGCACAAAGTTTTTTGAACACTCCACAGCACTAGAGTGTTCTTCAGTGTGTTTTTTGTTTTGGGGTGTGTTTTGGGGGTGGGGGTTGGGTTGGTTGGTTGGGTTTTTTTGGGTTTTTTTTTAAGAGATCTCACCAGTTAAAAACTGTTTGTGAACTGAATGAGAATCGAAGTCCTTCACATAACAGAATTATCAGTCTGAGAGATTAAGGGGTTTGCTTTCCCAGTTTCATATTATGAAACAGAGGAAATCAACATCTCCAAGTCAGTTCACCCACATGCCAGAAGCAACAGAGAAACAAGATGAGCAGCTTACAGAACAGAGGGAAAGCAGTTACTGAAGCCAGCCCTTCCCTCCGCCCTGTCAGAGGTGCCTGGACAGGGAAGGCTGAGGATTCCTTCCAAACAGTCCACAGAAAGGAAATAAATCCCACATTTAATCATGTTCCAAACCACGCCTTCAGTGGCACACAAAAATGAAAATCTAATGCAGTCTCAGAGTAGTATTACTTTCAAGGAAGTTCAAGGGACTTTTTTTTTTTAATGGGTGGGAGGATCAGGGCAGGGTTTATGCACTGGGAGTTACAGCAGGCTGGACATGCCTAACCAGCTGTTCTCATCAGAGATGCAAAGTACACTTTCACAGTAAAAGTAAGAACTATTTCTCTCACAAGTTAGGACTCCTGGCATTAAATCAGTGCCTGAGAATAGTTTCAAGTTGCATGTGCTCTACTTTCCAACAAGCTACAAGCTGACCTGTCTGCTGCATCTCATAATGGAAACAATCTGATGGCAATCACATTGCCATCGTGACCACAGCTGAGCCACACAAACCTGCTTACTCCAGCTGCTCAGCACCCACCTCCACCAGCACTGATGCCCCACCTAATTACCTCTGGCCAGGGCCAGCCAAAGTTATCTTCTCTGAAGGGCTTAACCAGGTTCAATGCAGCTGAGCTAGTTTAGGGAGCTGTTATACAAACAGCTTTTAAAAGCAACAACCTTGGTCATGGGGTGGGGTGCAATGTACCCTCTATCCAAGGGGGCTCAATAAAGCTGCGACCTTGCAGATGGCACCACTCAAGAAGCCACTGCTAGTGCAGTTCCAGACCTGGGCTTGATTAAAATTATCAGTTATGTTTGCTGAGATCACAACATGACACCTGTTTCTAGATAAACTCATTCACGGACTATCCCACAGTTAGAGGCCTGAAACATACACCCACATCAACCCCCCAGGGCAGGCCCTCCTCCTCTTCTCCTCCCCTGAGCGTTGCTGGCCCCAGCACCCGACACAAGCTGGCCCCAGGGACTGCCCTCTCTCAAAATTAACTCAGCAAAAACAACAGGTGCGTACGTGTGTGTGTGTGGAGAGGGGACTGAGCCTGCCCAGCTCCCAGTCTGGCTCGCAGTGGTTTCTGGCCATGCACCAGTGGAAGGAGGCAGGCAGGGAGGGAGGGAGGCAGGGCCAACCCAGGGCGCTGTCGAAAGCGGTTGTGCAAGCAAGGTCCAAACCAGTTACAGGGAATAACCTTGCCTGCAGGTCTGCCTTTCCAGCTACCTAGCTTTGTTTTTAAAACACTGAAGCGACAGCATGAAAAAGAAAATTAAACTACTTTTCAGCAAGTTGTGGGATCAAAAGAGAACTCTGCTTTTTTTTACAAAGCAAAGAAGCAACTCATGGAAAAAATAACATGAGAAAGGGAAAAGCAAGTCTAGTTTACCTTGCGAATCAGTAGCTGAGGCACTGAAGTCAGACAAGGTACAGGTGGCTAACGGCTGGCACAGCACGTGTGTCCCCACTCCAGAGCCACTTTGAGGTCTGAGCACTAGTGAACCACTCCAAATACAGCAACAGTCTTTCCGGTGCTCTGCTACCATTCTCATAACCACATTCAAGTCTTTGGTTCTCAACCTCTGACCCAAGGGATGACTGCTAGGAAGAAAAGCACACCCTGCTCCAAACAGCTGTAAAGTGTAGTTAAAAAGAAACGTGTGTTTGCTCTCTGGAGAATGCACTGAAGTGGCTCATTTTGCTGAAGCTGTGTGACACAGATGGCCCATCACAGAGACAAGGCAACCTACAACCACAGAGTTGAAGAGCAGATCTGGATGTGATTATGCATCCACAGACTTTTGTGCCCAGCAGGCCCTCAGCTATCAGAACGCTGCAGAGATTAAACTGCTCTCTCTAAAGCTTCCTATGAGCAGGTTCAACTAGCACAATCACAGGTAGACAAGCTCAAGAACAATTCCCAGGATGACCACTTCAAATTTGAAGCTAGCAGCTTAGATCCACTACTTGCCACAGAAATCACTATTAGGTGCAGCTAACATTTTAGCACAAATATGTATGGTACAGAAACTTTAATATCAAAGCAAGTTCTCCTTACAGCAAATGAGAGCTTGAAGGGCACAAGGTACAGAGCTATCACTGTGCTTCAAGAGCTTTTTACTGCATCAGTACTCATGCTTAGCTCTGCTCTAGCTTACCTGTCACTTTCTCCAACCATGAGGCACGCTGCATGTCTTCAGGCAAGTTTTCTTGCATATGCATCATGCGTAATAGCCCTACAGTTACACCACAAGCAGTTCAGCTTTCTCCATCCAAAAGACATTTGGTCTTTCATGATACACCCTAAACCACATCTACTACATCATTTTACAGAACGCTCAAGAAAAGGGACAGCAATTTGAAGTTCAAGTACGCAAGAGCTATAGGAAGCTCACGTGCTGAGAACTCACATTCAAACCATTGTAATGGCAGCTTCCCAGGCACGTGAAGCAACCATGCACATATGCAAATAAGTCCAGTAATGACTTATTTATGACATCTCCCACTTAAATATGTTGAAGTACTTAATAGAGCTGAGCAAGTTCACCTAAAGGTCACCTCTCTGTACTCAGCACTTGCTTCTTCACTGAGGCTAACCTGAACGCTAAACCGAGGGCTTCCAACGGCACACAAGAGCGTAGTTGTGGTTTCACAACAGAAGCTGAAAAGACAGTGTTTGAATTAACAGAACTGTATGTATAGTCACCTGTAGGAGTTGCGCTATTTAAAACGACAATATTAAATGTAAAGTAGACTTGACTTGCAACCCCAAACTGGAAATTCTGCATAACAGCAATGCTGTGATGTACAGCAGTTTAAGGAGTTTTCCTTCCACTCACAAGTCTAAAAGTTATAGACATTATGCACCGACTCCTGTCCTTGCACAGAAGACAAAAACATTACCTGTCACCAAATCATCCCTCATCCAGGGTAGGTTATCAGGCAAGACAGCAAGCAGAGGAGGCAGTTTGTATTTGCTGCTCTACCACCACCACGTTCAAAACATTTCCTGATTTTTTTTTAGATGGGAAGGAAAGTTTTACAGTAACTTCCACAATGTTACATGGAAGGTGAATCCAAACTGGCAAGTTTTCTTTTGTTTTTAAAGCAGATGGATTTAAAGAACGGTTCACAAAATTAACTCTAACTCCAGAACTTGTTTCTCCTGTGTCATCACATGAAAGATGAAAGGGGAAGAAGGAAA